GATTTCAATGGTAATGTTTTTCACATCTACTAATTCCTATTATTTTTTTAATCGTTATTTTTTTAATTGTTAATAACTACATGATTAGAAGAAGCATTTCACTACAGATTTAACATATCCAGTAAAACAATCCAGAGAAAGAGGTACATCTCTTTCACAATTGGGTGCAAGTTTCTAGGTTCACAGATAAGCTAATACAGTTATACAATATTGAACACAGTATAAGCCCAGTAAGACATAAAATAGAACGAGTTTTTAACCTTTAAAAAAGATCTCCATTTCATTTGAGAATATATTGTTCCTTGCAGAAAGACATTGTTTTTGCTACTAACGCTGAGATGTTGGTGCATGCATCTCCTGTATGCATCTGATTATTACTAGTCATAATTGGTTGTACTTGGACCCTTGGTGCCTGTGTACGTCTATGAAGTCATCAGGTGGGTTTCAATGGTAATGTTTATCACCTCTACTAATTAGCATGACGTAAATTTCCATGCTTCCTCCTCAAATATAGTACATTTTTTAAAATTTTGATGATTTTTGTGTGTGTGTGTATATATATTTCACAGAACATCCCAAACCATCTTATTCAACTATACACCCGCTTCTCAGTTGGTACCCTCCCATAGCCTCCCTCCCTCCACTAGAGCCCTTATATTCTGATATCCCTGCTACTGTCTGCTGTGTTGTGGGCACCACAGCTAATCCCCACTACTTGCCCTTCTGGTGAATCTAGTCAGCCTATCTAGAGGTCTTTGTTTTAGGAGGGTCAGCTGTTCCTCTTCTAGCAGCAATCAGTTGTCAATATTCCTTTAGATAAGATTAGGGTCTGCTGTTCATTTTCCCAGTTCTGTGCTGGGTTATTGTTTGGGAGTCCCTTTGGTCACCCTGGCCAACAACTCAAAAGAAGGTATCTCCTATCTGGCATTGTTGCTTGTTATGTAGCCTTTAGCTATGCATAAGGACTCTTAAGAAATTATATTGACCCCTTTAATCTTTGGTTATACTTTCCTTTTGGATGTTTAAGGCCATACAGTTGGCCCAGATAAACCAATTTATTTTTACTCTTAAGGTCATTTGAGGACCTGTTCCTCAGGAGTCACATGGGCTTGGGAGGAGCCCCTGGCTCCTTTCTTTTACCAGTTCCGCCTATGTGAAGATAAGTCAAAGGTCCTGCTCAACCATGGTTGGCTTCACTTGGAAGCATAGAGGAAGTGATTCCTCTGTGGGCCAACCTATTTTTTTAAAAGTTCTGGAGACTAGAAAGAATCCTCACAAGTCCTTTCTAAGTTCCCACTTACAGGGCCTCTAACAAAGGTCAAAGCAAATATTTTGTTTATCCTTGATACTACTCAGATTTGGTTTGCCTGATGGCTCTCTAGTAGAAGGAGTTTTAACCTTTACCAATTCAGTAATAACTGGGGCTGGACAGATGGCTCAGTGGTTAAGAGCTCTGTTAGTGTTAAGAACACTATGCAGCACCTCTTTCACCATTTTGTGTGGCTGTTGGGAAGTCACAGGGTCTATATTTGAGTGTGGACTTTCCAGTGCAACAGTAAATGGGGGTGCCCACTCTTCTGTAAATAAACCCCCACCTATGCTTGTTAGCAAGCCCAATAAACTCCTTAGGATTAAAAAAAAAAAAAAAGAATAGAGCTAATAGAAACCTTCATTATTCCACCAAAGTTGACCCCATGTTAGTAAATCCTTTGGTCTTTGATTTCTTACTCCTATTCCCCTTCTCCCCTTAAACTTCATTGTGTATATATTTATGTGTAACCTGCTTCAGGTTATTTCTGGGGAAAATGTTTTAAAAATCACCTTTCTTTGGGATAATAATAACAAAAAAATTCAAAAGAAATTTTTAAAGAGGTCTGACTGCTCCTGCAGAGGACTTGGGTTCAATTCTCAGCACTCACATGGAGCTGACAACAATCCATAACTCCAGTTCCAGGGGATCTGACACCTTCTTCTGACCTCCACAGGCACTGCACACCTGTACACTTACACATATGCAAGCAATACACTCATGCACATAAAAATAAAATAAATATGGGGCTGGAGAGATGGTTCAGTGGTTAAAAACGCTGGCTATTCTCACAGAAGACCCGGATTTGAATCCCAGCACCCACATGGCAGCTAATAACTATCTGTAACTCCAGTTCCAGGGGATCCAACAGCCTCTTCTGTCCTCCTCAGGCATTGCACAACACAGGTGCCCTTACCTATATGCAGGCAATACACTCATACACATAAAAAAATATTTAAAAGTTTTTAAGAAGAGTCCAATAATAACTAATACTAAAGGTCTTTTTAAAAAGTCATATGGAAACCTACTGCTGTAGAAGCTTCCTAAAATATATACACACACATATAAGGAGTTTAAGTAGTGTTACCCTGTAACAGGGGGACAGTGCCCCTACTAGACACAACAGGCTAGCAAATAAAAAGCTCAGTAGCAGGAATGAGTTACCTCTTTTGGAGTTGTTGGCCAGTGTGGGGGTCCCATAGACCCCCAAACATTACTGGCTATTGCCATTGCTCTTGATTACCCTCCAGAACTTGATGGTGAGACCTTATTGCTGAAGACAACACATACTTGAGACATAGAACATGGAGAAATCAAGCTGGTACTGACTTTGAAGCTTCATTCCTACTGGTTAGCTTTCATGGTGCTGGAAAGTGCTATGCACACTACCATCAGTTTTACCCACTTACTTATCCGGTGAGTTACATACAATAACCACTGACCTGGCAAGATATGCCCATTGGTACAATAGTGGTATGAATGTTATAGGAGTAACTAAACACTTCCTGATTGGATTTAAGGCCTGTTTCACAAGATGGATCCTGTCCCTGGCCTTGTTATCCAGGGCAAGAACCTGTGGCTACATAGAGCATAGGCCCTAGGGGAGAACCTACTATTATTCTTCTTCTAAATGGACATAGTCTTAAACTGACTCCTAATAACATCATTATATCCGTAGATTAGTGCATTTCTCAGTCCTCATCAGAGAAGC